TTGGGGTAAATACCCAGTCATGCAATTGCAGGGTCATAGGGTAGCTCTATTTTTAATTTCTTGAGGAATCTCCACACTGTTTTCCAAAGGGCTGCACCAACTTGCATTCCCACCAACAGTGTAAGAGGGTTCCCCTTTCTCCACATCCTCTCCATCATTTGTTGTTTCCTGTCTTAATTTTGGCCATTCTAACTGGACAACACCCTAATTTAAAAATATGGTTGGGTTTGTCAATGTAAAGCACAGTAGATTAAAATTAATGTACATAAAGGGGAAAATGTGTAGCTTAAGAAGGGAACGGAAAATGGATGATAAAGTCTTCCTTACTATGGAGCAAAATACAGTGAAACTTTAAAGGGGTTGTAAACACCTGCATGAACTCATGACCCTTCACAAAAAGACTGACAGCCAACATTACTAAGCATTTATGATACAACAGATGCTATTATATGAAAAGCACTTGCATTAACATATTTAGACCTTCCAGAAGGCTTTCAAGTAAGACTTGTCTTTATTGTACAGATGAAAAAAAGTGGTACTAGAAAGGCATCTAGAAGGTACTAGAAAGGTACTAGAAAGGTACCTAAAGGTACTAGAAAGGCATCTCAGCTAGTTAGTAGAGTTAAGATGAATTAAAGTGATGCACACACGACCTTGAACAACGTGGGGGTTAGGGGTCCCGGCCATGCAGTCAAAGTTCCCCATTACCACTTTTAATCCTCACTCCCCCAAAACTTAACTACTCGGCTGCTGAGGAGCAGAAGCCTTACTGAAAACGTCAACAGTTTAACACATATTCTGTATGTTCCACGTAATATTCACAGTATCCTTCCAATAAAGGCAGCCAGAGAAAAGAAAATGTTATTAAGAAAGTCACTGGGAGGAGAAAATGCATTTACAGGACTGTACCGTATTTATCGAAAAAAAGGCGCCCGTCAGTGGACCTGCGCAGGTCAAAGCTGGTAGTTCCAGAGGAGGGATTTAGGAAAGGCTGACCCGCCCACCTCTCCACTACCCTCCTCCCCTAGCCAGTGAATGAGATTTCGGGGAGGGGCTGTCAAAACGGGGAGAAGGGAAGGCCCTGACCCTCTCAGCTTTCAGGAGTGAGGAGAGCAGCAGGCACAGAGGGATTTAATTCTGAAGCAGCAAGATCTCAGCAAAGGTTGCAGGGAGCGGGCAGCGCTCTTCGGGATAACGATGCCAGAAGGAGAAAAGCATAAAGAGGAAACTCCTGTGGGGAAGTAAATGGTACTTGGAAGGTCAGCATCATGTGATCCCGTTAGTGCTGCTCTGGGCTATAGTCTGGGGAGCTCAGTGCCAGGATGAGGAAAAGGTCAGGAGAGGAAGAGGTGGGCTTTCGTGCAGAGGGGCTAAGTTGAGACTGGCATGCTGCTGGAAGCTTCCGCAGGAGGCAGCCCCACCCCGGTCTATGTTAGCACCAGGGTACTCAATGGGTGTGTCTCTCACCAGGGGCACCCCAGGGGGATGCCTGGGGGGACCCAGAACTAAAGCACAGTGCAACTCCCTCTCCTCTTCAGGTTGTTAAGGGACTGGAGCCCTGAGGACCAGGACAGGTGGACCCAGGAGTCAACCAGCCTCAGAACCGGCAGTATGGTTGAGGCAAGAGAGTCAAGGCAGCCAGTGAAGGCTTTAGGATCCTGCAACCAGCCTCGTGGGCCTCGTGCACACTGGCCTCTAGCGACCTCTAACACACTGGCTCTAGCAGATGGAGAAGAAGAAAACAAAAACAAAAGGGGCTGCTGTATGAAGAGGTTCAGGAAGCTGGGAGATTAGATATGCAAATGGACAGTGGCCAGACTGTCCATAAAAACCAGATTCTGCCTCAGCAGCTGCGGCGGCCTGACCAAGACACCAGTCTCCCATCCACAGTAACCAGCCCAGGAAGCCAGCCCGTGGTAAGGCAGGCTATTTCCAGTAACACCCAAGACACCACACAATAACTTCTGTAACCCTGTAACCTTGTGCCCCAAATGGCCATGACTTGATTAAGAACTACCAGCTTCCCCAATTTTTGATCCCACTTCCAACTCAGGACCAAGGAGAGAAAGCCAAACACGCACCCCTTAATCAAGGAGAGAGAACACCTCGGTTCCAGAAGCTGGCTGCCTCCAGCTTCCCCCCGGCCACAGCCCCCATCGGGACACACCTGAAGCCTCCCCCTTTCCCACTAGAAAGCTCTCCAGGGCCTCTGCCTGTGGTGGGGCTTCCCCACGTGCCTGCTTTGCCAGAGCCAACCCCGAACGAACAGTTTCTGTTCCGTCCTTGTCTTGGTCTCCTTCCCCAGAGACAAAGAGCACAGCCAGGAGAAAGCAGATTCGGGATAAGTGAGGACATGGGAGGAACAGGAAGTTGGTTGTGAAGAGAGAAGGGGGTTTCAGACACTCTGGAAGGGACAGGGAGCAGGTCTATAATGACCCCATTGCTTGTTGTGAGTTTCCTGCCGCATTCTTATGGGGTGTGCAACTTACCAATAAAGCCCCATGAGAGATTTCTTTCCATCTACCACTTTTAAGAGAAACAAAACTAAAATAGCCTTTATGACCCATTGGGGGGAGTGGAGGCAGAGGCCAACCAAGGTCCCTCCCCCAAGAGTTCTCTGCCACTGCCCCTGTGCACCGTTGCCTCAACTGTCTCCTCATTGACCGTCCTATGGCTTGTCCTTGTGTGCTGCCGTGCTCTGCAGACAGGCATGGAATGACATAATGAAATGATTACCTTGTCCCTATTTACAGAGTCAGTAAGTGGGATCAGGCAGATCTGAATCCAGATCTTTCTGATTTCAAAGTCTATGGTGGGTCACCTCATCCGGGTTACTTGGAAATGCAGTAGTGAAATGGACATTAAATTACTGACTTGAGTCAGAACAGTTGGGCCGGTGTTGAGAAGTACACGTAGTTACCAAGCAGGAGGGCAAGGATGGTATTGACAGTCCGGGGTTGTCAGCCAGGGACAAGACAAGGTGGGAAAGAGTCCTGGAATTAGCAGGTGATGTTACCTAAAATATGGTGTGAGTGGACAACGGAGGAAAGTTCCATCAAATTAAAATAGGAACTATCGTGAGCAGAGGGTGGGGTCAGTGGGCTACCAGACTGGAGACTGGGGCTGGACAGGGCACAAGGAATGGCCATCACCCACCATCGTCCTGTGCACTGGAAAAAGGAGACAAAGCAAAAGCTCTTCGGGATGGAGTTAGGGGTGGTAGACGGACAGGCAGTTCCTATGGTGTGGCTGAGAACGCAAGAGGACACACATAGGCCAGAGGGGAGGGGCTGCGAAAGAGAGAGAGACTGGCGGGGCTGCAGGTTCTAGAAAACATGGCTGCATGGAGGGGGAACCCGGTAACCAGATACCAGTAACCAGTAACCGGTAATCAGACAGTGACTCCAACTCCCCAGGGGAAAGGCAATCAGGGAATGGTGGGGAATGGGAAGAACACGTTCCAGATGGAGGAAGAAGCACTGTTGAGTCACTGGGATTCAATGACTGCTCAAGATGGAGAAAGGAGACCCAGATTCCAGCTGTATGAGCTGAAAGTAAACATTGGATTAAATTATAGCTTCTCGCAAGTGAAAAGAGGAATAGTTCTAAGGCTCCCTCTTTTTTGTTGTTGAAACCTTCGAATACCTGCTAATGTGAGTTAAAAGGTCCTGTGGATTTTGTCCTACAGAAGTTGTTACAGTTTGATTTTATAAAGTTGCTTTCTAGGGGCTGGGATTTGCCACATCAAGTACTCAGTGGACCTCATCACGGATGAGGTGAGAAGGGGCCGAGCCAATCCACGGAAGAAGGTGTCACCGGTGCCCTGTCCACGGATGTTTCCATCTGTCGTGTCTAGGATTCTCAGAAAGTACTGATGCAGGCGTGTCCAGGACGAAGCCGGTGGCAATCTGCCATTGTTCTATCGCCTTACTGATCATCCCAACACAGTATTTCGGTCTGGGAAGTAAATATATGCAGGGACCCCTTTCAAACATGTTAGAAGAAATCTAAGACATGTGCTAATTTCTCTCTCGTATCCTTCCTTCTGTGTCTAACACTGTTGTCCGGCGAGTAGCCTATATGTCAATGGTCTTTTCCAGACCTTTTCTGGTGCCACACACTCAGCCCTCAAAGCAAAACGTCTCCAAGATAAAAACCTGCATACACATTACCACGTTGCTATTGATCTGAAGCTGGAAAAGAGGGGCACTTAGACTAAACCTTGCCACAGGGAAAAACTACAAGAAAACACATTGTAAGCTCTAAGTCATAAGAACTCTGGTGGTTGTGTGTCCTGACTTCAGCTCTGCAGGAACATCTATTAAAAATAGACTTCTTATCTACCTGCCCCCTGCCCTGGTGCTTGCCTACCCTTCCCATGACCTGAAAAAATGAAAAATTTTTTAAAAAAGGTAGTTAATGGAAGAGTTAGATAAGGAGATTTATGGGGATAAAACCATGCTGCAGTGACCTAGCCAGTTAGGAATATCCCCCAAGGAAATGTTATTTAAGGTAAAGGAAGAGACATAATACGTAAATATAACGTAATTATTTCTAGCTTAATAAACCTATGTGCGACATTGAGACAGAGGACGTGCGTGGCTTCTCATAGACATCCTGATTTATCTCATCATGAGATTGGAGTTGGAATTTTTCCTGAGATGTGCGCTTTTCTAACATCCACTTGATGTGATAACTAGCGCCGTGTCCTCTGTCCATCTGGGGCACTCGTTTTTGCCAGGCTCATCCTGGAACCAACCAAAACCTCCTCCACAGAGAGGGGTCTCCAGAAATTTCACCCTGTCCACCTGCCCTCTGTACAGGATATACCCAAGTTGCAAAGAACTCACTGAATGAAATCGTTACTCGTGTCTCGTCCCCTGGTCTAAAAAGCAAGGGGCACACCTGTGTACTTAAGATATGTTTCTCTCTACTATCCAGCGCTCTCTTTGCTTTTCTGCCCACCCCCTAAAAGAGAAGTTTTGTTTGTTACCTCTTACCGACATTTATTTTGACAATTTTTTTCTGAGAGCCCATCCTCGTCCTCTCCCATGATGTCCACGGCAGAAAATATCAACGCCACGAGAATGGCAAAGCAGCACACCAGGGCGAAGATCACGATACACTTCTGCTGGGACTGTCAAGAAAAAAAAGGAAAAGAGAAGTGAGAAGCAGCTTTCACTTTGGAAACTCAGGATTGGATAGATTTTCAAAACCTCTGGGAAAGGGTCACTTGCATTGCTGCCAGCGAAGGCTGCCCTCGGAGGGAAATCTTGACGCTCGTTCCCCGACACAGCCTTCAACCCCCGACTAAGTATGTCAGAACCTGCCAAATAATTCAAGTGCTATGTCGAGACTTCTGAACTAGTTCGCTCTCCCTCTTTCTCATCAAAAGCAGTGCGGGAGATCTGGAGATCTTCTACAAGATCTTCTACAAAGCACAGTATGAGGTCCATGAGTGCAAATTAAAAAAAATGAAAGAGTGGCGCAATAATGATTCTCTGTCCCCTGTTATTGTCACCACCTTTCAAACTCTATGCAAAGTCTGTGCCCTTAAACTCTGCATCCTCTAGCTTCTCCCACCTTGTCTTGCTCTACGGTCTTTCGTATGATGGCTCCAGGAGAGATGCTCCTGGCAGGGGAGGATGAGTTCCCAACTTGGATCAGAAATTAGATCCATCAGATGCCGGCATCTTGGGTCATGGAACTGACATGGCTCATTTTGAAACACTGAACACAGTCATAACCAACATTCATACTTCTGATACGATTTTCACTTAGAAACAGAAGCTGAGGGCACTTGGGTGGCTCAGTGGGTTAAGCCTCTGCCTTCAGCTCAGGTCATGATCCCAGGTCCTGGGATCGAGCCCCACATCAGCCTCTCTGCTCAGGGGGGAGCCGGCTCCCCCACTCTGCCTGCCTCTCTGCCTACTTGTGATCTCTCTCTGTGTCAAATAAATAAATAAAATCTTAAAAAAAAAAATCTAGATGGTTCAAAGAAGAGAAAGAACAAACTTCAATTTTACTTTTAATTTTTAAAAGTGTTGTGACCATTGACCAGACAGCCAGGAGAAATTCCCTTAGTGATGAGACACACACATGTGTACACGTACGCCCGTGTGCACGCGCACACACGCACACATACACTAGCTTTGCTGAAACCAGCTGGCTTTGCTTCTCCTGCCACCCCCCTGCCCTTTATTCCCGCAGCCGCATGATCTCCAAAGAACGGAGGAACCTCCCCAAGCTCAGGGTCCAGTTTGTCCAAGGTCAGGCTCGGATGACAGATTCTAGAGAAAGAATGAAGACGCCCCGTGACCAGACGCTGTCTGCTCAGATGCGTGGTTCCTTCTGGAGGCTTTGCCTTCTGACTTCCCTCCGCGGTCCCCTCCCAAGAGAAGCTCATTCCGAGTCCCTTCCTGCCCCTCCCTGCCCACTTCGCTTATTTCACACTTGGGGAGGAGGTGGACGGGAGCCCAAGCGTGACACAACCGCTGATCGTGGCCCCCAGCCGCCCGGGATCCTTAAGACGTGCACACGTTTTACTCTTCCCATCCAGCAACCAGCGCCGCCCAAAAGGGAGAAGGTGCCCGAGAAACAATGACCGCGTAAACTAAGCGAATGAATGAAAGGAACGTCCGGAGGGCACACTTCTGAGCAGGCGGGGTGACGCGAAAGTGCTTGGAGAATCGGATGCGGCCTTCCAGAGCATTCGCCTGCCTCCGCCATCTCCGTGGCTGTGAATCCTGCGGCCTCTCCTTGTTCCTGCTCTACCTGAGCCCCAGGAGAAACCAGCGCTGCGTTTTCCGACTCTATCCAACTCCACAGAACAGTCTGCGCATTCTTCCTGCCCCTTTATCTTCCGTCATCCTCATTAATTTTATTTTTCAGAAGCAGCATAGCGAACTGGTTGAGGGCACAGACTTTGGGGGCCAGACCGCTTGGATTCCTCCCCTAACTATGCCCTCGGGCAAGTTATTTAGTCTTTGTGCTTCAGATCCCTTGACTGTCAGATGGAGAGGACAATCATGAAACAATAATAATGATGACAGCCTCAGAGGGTTATGGCTGATGATTAAGTTACATGAGATACTGTATGTGCAGTTCTTAGAACAGTATCTGAACAGACAGTACGGGATGGGTGTTTGCTGTTGTAGTATATGTGCCCTCTGGAAGCTGCCTCAAATATTTGGGAGAAACAAGGTAAAGATATGAAAAAATAAAAAACATACAGGGACATCAGGGTGGCTCAGTGGGTTAAGCATCTGACTCCTGATTTCGGCTCGGGTCCTGATCGCAGTGTTGTGAGATGGAGACACGAGTCAGGCTCTGCGCTGGGCGTAGGGTCTTCTTGAGAGTCCTCATGCTTCTCTCCCTCTCGCTCTCTGCCCCTCCCCCACCTCTCTTTCTCCCGCTTTAAAAAAAAAAAAAAAAGAATAAAAGAAAAACAGACAACAAAAACTATACATGTAAGAGAGAAGCAGAGTGATAGACAGAGGCAGAGAAGGAGAGGGAGATGTAAGAAAGAGAGAAGGGAAATGTGAGACCAATGTTGTCTGGGATAAAATTTTTTTAAGATTTTATTTATTTAGAGAGAGAGAGAAAGAGAGTTGGGGGAAGGGCGGAGGGAGAGAGAACATCCCAAGCAGACCCAGCACTGAGCGTGGAGCCCAGCACAGGGCTCGATCGCAGGACCCTGAGACCATGACCCAAGCAGAAATCAAGAATCAGATACTCGACCACCTGAGCCATCCAGGTGCCCCTGAAATCCTGCTTAATACATGTTGATCTTCAAACGTACCTCCTTTAGTTCATTTTTTAAAAAAATATTTATTTATTTATTTATTTGAGAGAGAGTACACAAGCAGGGGTGGGGGGGTGAAGCAGGAGAGGAAGAGAGAATCTGGAGCAGACTCCCCGCTGAGCACAGAGCCCAACAAGGGGCTCCATCCCAGAGCCCTGAGATCATGACCTGAACTGAAATCAAGATGAGATGCTCAACCAACCAAACCACCCAGGCACCCCTCCTTTAGTTCCAATAAAGGGAGCATGATAAATACATCCAGTGTGGGGGCTCAGAAGGAAATTATTTTAAGTATTTTTTAAACTTTGAATGAGTTTCCTCTTGCCCTTTACTTTTTATTTATTTTACTAATATTCATGGCTTATATAATCAGAAACTGTTTGCTATTAACTACTTAAAAAAAAAACCTACATAATATAAAAAAAGGAAATAAATCACTTCCGGTCCCACGCAGACCAAACCGCCGTTAGTATTTTGTTCTCGTTCTTTCCTATGTACTGTGTCTACAGATCTAACAATCTAAAGATGTTGGTGTCACGCTATATATAGTTTTGCATTCCGCTTTTTGCACTTGATTATGCTTTAAGGTCATTAAATATTCTTCTAAAGCAGAGTTTCACATTGTTGCATCACATTCCATTGTGTGGCTATGTCGCCGTCTCCTTTATTCCAAGAACTTTTTTTTAAAAAGCCACTCGTTTAACAACACCAAAAATAATTAAACATTTTTATCATTTTACCTTATGTCCCTATATGTTATAAACAGAAATGAACAAAAAGCTTTTAGAGGGGTTTAAAACAATGCAATCGTAACACATTAATCTAGTCCAGAAGAGATTTTAACCTAGGGTGATATAATTAAACATTATCTCAGAAAGAATCCTGAAGAGAGCAGCATAAATATATCGTGTCAGGTACATTAGTGGGTACTTAATGAAAAAATCCTAATGAATACTAAATACTTCATCCACAACAATATTGATCTGTTTCCCTTTATTCTGAATTTTACGATGAAACAGTCAGTAAGAGCGCTAGTTAATTTGTGTGCTACTGGAAGTACTTTGCTATAGTAACCCTCACAAATTTCTATTAATGTCTATTCATTTAATTCTATATTATCTTATTCTATTAATATGAACTGACCTAGTTATTTTCATTTTAATTCATCAAAGAAGAGAAATGCAGACTCTGATATTCATTTTTAAATGTCTCCTTGAAAGAATGTACTAGAAAATTACAAGGTCAGACCACTACTTTCCTTGCTTTTCCACCTCATCAAAAATGAATGATTCTGTTCAAAGAACAGCCTAAGAGCCTCACAAATGAGACCAAATTCCAGGTTACCAAGACACTTACTCATTTTCAAATCCTTAACAGATCATTTCAGATCATTCAGGAATCAATTTGAAACATACTCTTCTGTTTTTATTGAGTAGAATCAAACTATGGAAAGTTTTAAGGAGAACCCATTAACATGATTACAACCTCAATTCCACTAATGAGCTCAACCAATTAAAAGAAAACAAAACTTGGAATGCTATTATCTAGCATCAGTCTGTACTTTTCATAGGAGTGTGTACTGAAACAGTTTTGAAAAGAACGGCTTGCTTGGTCAAGAAATAAATCCAATTATGCTAATGCCAAAAATATTTAAATACTATATCCTTATCAAATAAATTTCACCTTAATACAGAAAAAGAGGTATATGACCTCTAAATGGTAAAGAGTATTAAATTTGAAACTTGGAAGTACTATCTATTCCAACTTGAGCTTTTATACCATTTGATATACTCTTAAAAGGAATTTACACCTATGTGCCTAGTGGTAAAATATACATTTTCAAAGATTAACCATAAATTAAAATTATTCATATTATTTTTCATTTATTTACCATGATAATATTTTTAAACAAAATCAAGGCAAAGTCTTAAAAATAACCATTTTTATGTGTGGAGCTTTTTTTTAAGATTTATTTATTTGACAGAGAGAGATCACAAGTAGGCAGAGAGGCAGGCAGAGAGAGGGGGAAGCAGGCTCCCTGCTGAGCAGCGAGCCGGATGCAGGGCTCGATCCCAGGACCTTGAGATCATGACCCGAGCTGACGGCAGAGGCTTAACCCACTGAGCCACCCAGGCGCCCCTGTGTGCAGCTTTTAATACCTACCGAGCTGGAAGTTCTAGTATGGTTATTCTCCATGTGAAAGATGTCAAAATTAGGACTCAAAGACATTGGGTTACTGTCCAACGTGACCCAAACAGTTGGAGACAGCCCAGGGATTTAACCTAGGTCTCTGAATCTGAAATCTCTAGACCTAGTCTATAGATCCAAACTTT